AGATTTTTAATCACTAAAAATTAGGAAGGCCAAGTTTTTTTTTTTTTTGGTTTAAAGTATTGACATCTATTAAATTTACAGTCAGAATGGAACATCTTCTAAGTCATCAGTATCCGGAGGAGGAAAAATCAAACACAAAGCAAATGAGTTTCCTGTCCCATCTCCACGGCACCGCTGAGGAAGTTCCCACTTCACAGAGCTGCTGAAGACCTTTCTAGTTCAGAGAGTAGACAGTTGGTAGTAGGAACAACGTGTTCATCTTAATAATGGAATGGATAGCCCTTTGTGAAAGTCTTTTCCATTTTCCAAGTCTCTGTACAACCTGGGAGGCAGCAGGCACTTTTGGGGGTCCAAGGGTACCATCTGCATCCCACCAGTCTGCATGGCCTCTGAGCAGAAAGAAGCTTGGCCAGTGTGGAGGACCAGAGTTCAGCTATCTGGTCACTGTAGAGTGGACTGTTAAACTTTCCTGACATGAATTACAACCACAGATGTGCCCTTTTCTCGGTATTCTAATCCCATTGGAGACTTTTCATTAAGACCTTGTTCCTTTGCACACATTTCGGGCACAACATATTGTCCTCCAGGTGCAGGGGTGGGAAACTGCAGGCCGGAAGTAGGAAGAGAGCACACACTCTCCCTTTTTGCTTCTCAGGAGCCCAGCCTGTCCAGCATGAAACTGCAGGTGAACCCAACCACCTGTTTGCAGGGAGACTTCTCCCATGGACCACACACCACCTGACACCATAGGCCTCTTGTAGGGATTCCACGGCCTCTGTTACTGCTGACTCCATCTTCCCGGCCCAGGAGGCCAGCACAGCCTCTGGGGCAGAGGTTGTCACCTCAATTGTATTAACTCCCTCGAGGAGAACTGCAGACTCTTCGGGGTTAGGCAAAGTCTCTGCAGGTGGAGGAGCCACTTCTGGAGGATTAGCCTTTTCAGAACACATCCCTGCCTGGGGACTTTCTGCAGATGCTTTCCCTCTGCTCATCTTTAACTTCTTCTTAATGATGACTCAATCCTGGCCTCTTTTGCTGTGGTAGGAATATCCTTCTGATTTGGATGAGCATAGGCACACAGTCTCCTCTATGCATCAAATTTCTGGCCTTTGGAGCTGATCTTTAATTGTTGGCACCAAGCCCGCAGGAAGTCTCAGTGAAGCCAGTTGACTGGTGGCAGTTTAGAAGGCAATGGGGAATTGGTATCTTTTTCTGAGGATGTAGGCTGTCATTGCTTTGTGCCTTCTCCTTTGGACAGGAAGCTTGGTCATCCTTCGCAGATTTTTGTTTGTTTGTTTTTTTCCCCTTTGCTGAGGTTGCCAATAACCCTGTAGATGGGCTTGGTTGACTGGAAGCCCACTGCTGCTCTTCAGTTTCAGACACTTGTTCACACTTAGGATTTCCATACTCTTCCCTTGACTTCTCTGTGGATTTCCATCCCTTGTCTCGTACATGCTCCATATTCTGAAATAGATCAGGCTGATAAAGGAAAATTCTTCCAGACCAAGAATTTAATCACCATCAGTTACTGACCAGTGTTCAGGTAACACCAATAGAGATTTAGAGAATGATATAGTCTCAGGTCAGGAATCTGCCATGGTTAAGTTTGCTTGTGGAAAAACCTACCCCCACTCCCCCACCACAGCCCTAAAATCTCCATAATAAATAAAAATAACACCCAGAACCTGTATTGGATAATATACAAGATTGAAGATTGATCTTTTGCTAGCCCCAAATTGAGATTCTGGATAAGAGAAGTTGCCTGTAGTGATGAGATCTCTTGGTTCAGAAGGCCCATTAGCTCTGAGACTTTATTTAGATGACATAGGATTTGCACTCTCTTCTTCATTCAGTATTATACTTCATAGGGCTAATTCGATCATCATTTTTATTTATTTGTATATTTATTTTTAGAGGGATTTTTGCTATAGAGCACGTGCGCTCACTGGAAATACAGACAGAAACAGAAAGTGAGAGATCACCCCCTTGGGGGCTGGTGGTCATATCACCATTCCTTCTTCTCCATCCTTCTCTCAGGATTTTGGGCACACATGCATACATGCTCTGTGTGAGTTTCAAGCTATGGCACACATGCATACATGCCCTGTGTGAGTTTCAAGCTACGGGGTCCAGAACTTGAATTGCAGTCAGCTATGTGGGAGTCCAGTGATGTAACCCTTACGCCATCTTGCTGGTCCTAATTTGCTAATTAAATGAACTAACATGTGAGGTATAAGTCTGATCAGCATAAAGCAGTGTGATAATGTATGATGAGAGGGACAG